TTTTTCTCATGATGCTGAGTCACAATATATCATAATAACAACTAGTCTTCATCAAGTGACGAGATTGAAAATTTACATGTTGCTATTGGTAGCACCTTCAAGGTCTGCTGTTATTGTGGTGTGTTTGAGAACAACATCTAGCGGTCAGATTACTAATTTGGATCAAAATACACCTGTCCAATGACAGCCCACTAATTTATCAGAAATACTGTATAAAGCTTCTTTGAATTAGCCATTCTCTGGGGCTTCACTCCAAAAGCACGAGTATTCCAAGCTTGGAAAAATTATATGATAGTAAAATTCATGTGTCTTGCCAGGTTAAAATTTGGCACCCTTAAAGTTACTTGAACTCACCCTTGTAATAACAGCCATGTGTTTAATTTGACTGAGCAGAATAAAGGAGCGTCTTGCAGATGCTAGATGAATGCCATGGATTCTAGAGCTTGTTTGTTCATGGTTCCGTCTGAAATCCAGAAAGAAAATGTTAAGTTCTATGTATCATGCCTCTTTCACTCTTACAGTGGAACCTCAATTTAACAAAGTGCCAAGGAACTGGGGAAATTGGTTTGTTATATTGAGGGTTCGTTATATTGAGGTTCTGTGGCATACAATTTACTGTAACTTTAGCTGGGCTGAAACTGAAGTATTGTTTGTTATACCAAGGACTTCATTGTATAGAGGTTCATTAAATCGAGGTTCCACTGTATTACGTTCAGCAGAGTTTCTGAAGAACAAAGTATGCTTCATAAACCTAATTTTTGTCTTCACCATTGAAAAGTAAATACCTCATGGCATTGAGTCACCGACTGGACTAACAGACTAATGACCAAGTGTTTGCCACAGACTAGTGTGAGGATTTGTTGAATAATTGGGACAAAAATTATCTGTGCTCATGAAAGACTTTTAAGAAGGTAACATACTAAAAATTTCTCTCTCATTAAGGCCACTTCATTTACATGAATGATTAATTCATTTGAGGACTGAAGAGTGTGAGTGTCTTAAATATAACAAACAAATACAATATGCATTGTATATGTATTTACGGAAGAGAAAGACTAGTGAATGAAGTTTTCACCATCAAGTTTCATGTTTACCAACTGATATATGCAGGACTTTTTAAAATAAGATTTGAAGTAGGTGGCTACCTCAGTAAGCACCCAGGTCAGTCTATAAAACCAATACATATATCTTATTAGACCTTTTGTTGTGTAGTATCGCTGAGTATTTTTACGAGTTGTGCCCTATTTTGACGAGCCCGTAGGGCGAGTCAAAATACAATTAACAAGTAAAAATACTCAGCGATACTACACAACAAAACGTCTAATAAGTTATTTATTATCCAACATGCCAAACTGTTATTTCAGTGCGGGCGAATTTCGTGGAATTTTTTTTAAGGGGAGTGCGTGACAGAAGTATAAAGAGCAGAATGGAATTGGCACGTTGTCGTGCTGCTGTTTCTTTTTTCTTCAATAAATTAAGAAATTTCCAGGTCATCTAGCTGTTTTTCTTCGTGCGATTCATCTAATAAACTTGGATGTATAATTGCCAGCCATTCTGACTCTTCATCGTCGGAAATAATTGATTCAAATTGTCCGCCATTTTTTCCCCCGTAACTACAATTAAATTCTTCGCTTGCGCGATGCAAGAAAACCTGTTTCACCGGTACTCTACAGTACAAATACTGCATGATATTTGTACTCATCTATGGCGTAATTTGTACTCTACGAAGTGTAGTTGGATAATAAAAGATAATATCCATATTATCTGTAATTTGTTGAAAAATATTTGGTGATTTTAGTTCAGCACAAAATTGTTGGAAATTATTTTAAATAATAAGTGGAGTGTACTTCTACTTTGTGCACGAGGAATTTATGTAGAACACACAAAACAGGCAGCAGTGAAAGAATGAATCTAACAAACAAAGACCACAGAATCTTAAAAATAAGTTTTACATTAATGAACATAGAACACATTGTCTGATTGGTCAATTCAGTTTCCAAGCAGATGCTTTATCAGGTTCAAGAGACCACATGTTATAAGCTATTACATTAAAGCAAAAGCTAAACAAATTTTTAGGGTCTCTATAATGTAATAAAGCCACTTGGGATGCTATAGGGCCCGCAAGAATGTGTTATATTGCTTATAAATACGGTATAAACACTCCACTACTAAAATTGACTATTATTTTCTAGTATGTTATTTATTCATTTATTTGTTCTGTGAATTCGACTTGATCTTAGCAAAGTACAACTGGTGATTAACAACAGAAAATCCACTGGAGTTCTGGTGGGTGACGGATCTAAATGAAAGTACTGTACACGACTGAAAACATTGTGACACCTGCATAAGCAACATTCAGGCTTGCAAGCTTAGGCAGTGACCTAAGTCCTGATTGGGTAAAATAAACTACAACAAACTTATACAAAAAAACTCCTATATATTGAAGTACATTACCTGTCCAAAAATGATCCATTCCAACATGAATAGGATGAGAAAATTGTCTCTAATCTTCTGTTAGGAATAGAAGGAAACAATCCATGGTACTGTTATTATAAGCAGTATTTCAAGCAAGCTAACAACCCCATGTAATACTTCATGGCTACTACTTCTTTCTTTTCCAATATAGCAAAAGAGGCTTTTCATCATGTAATCAAATTCCTAACAATCATTTTCTTTTGTAGATCAAAAAAGTCCCATATACATCTGACTGTGTGTAAAAGAATATGTAGAAAAGGGAAGGACAGTTGGATATAATCATATCTTGATATTCAGGATATTCAGAAACTTAAGCAACTGGATATATATATTGAGTTACAAAAATAAAAAGGCTTCACTTTCATCCTACAAGCCTGTTTGTGAGTAATCATGAAACATATAAAATTACTGCACTCTTACTTTTATGTATTGAGCACTACAACATGGAAAAATCAAAATGCAGACTTCCTACATATTGCAATTTGGACATAGATAGTGCAGCTCAATATATAAACATCACTTTCCAACATTTTGATCCTATTTAACAAGCATACTATCCACCATATGGCAAATTTTTCCATTGGAAAGTGTGATTGAACAACCAGTGCCTATAGTTCATGATGACTCACTGAAAAATATGTGGTGAAGGATTGGGAAGTGCCAACTGCTGAACCAATTCCACTACACTGGACTCTGAGAAAGTCCATAAGTGTTTAGATTGATCTTGAATGCGGAAATCACAAGGACTGCAGTGATCCTGATTCTGAATAAAGAATGTTACAATAAACATGTATGAATTGAATAATAATTTAATTTCTGCACTCAACAAGCTAGATTTGCTTTGCCTCTAACAACTCTTATGTTTTGATTACAAGTTCTCTTGATGCACACATGCCGAGCAGGTTAAGTACTACACTTTGACTGACTTTTTCCTAACCCCTCCCTACCCTGGAGGATTTTGAACAAGATGTATTCATTTTATTTTCAATGGATGTTTCTCCATTGCAGGAAAAGGACATGACACATGTAAGTATCCCTAATAGAAGGTTACAGTACCATACATGTAGCCACTTACTATTTTTGATACAAGAATAAAGCAGTGGTCACCACCGGCAGCAACTCTTTGGACAGCAAGGTGATTCTCAGGTTTAACTTTCACCCAGCTATTTTGAACAACAACAGGGCTATTGACTGACATGACTTTGTTATTTCCCAGTTGGCCATTCACTCCAGAGCCAAATGAGAACAGCTTTCCTGATGATGCAACATAGGCCAGTGTGTGAAACCTGTATTGAAGTAAATTTTTTGTTTCTTTTAAAAACAAAACATTCAAAACTTCCTTTCAAGAAAGAAATTATTCAAAAGTTACATCAAATGAATATAACAAATAATCCTACCTTCCACAAGCAACTTGTGTCACAACTTTTCCCATTAGTTCAAAAACCTAATAAAAGTAAATGTTATGGGTACAATGTAAAATTATTATCGACTGCTGTGTATTTTCTCCTGCTGCCATTTAACTGAATTTATCAATGATGGGTCACTCCAAAAACCATTCTTTTTTCTCTACCAATAAAAAAAAATTAACCCATTAACTCCAATTAGTGACCAAGACAGAATTTCTCCTTACAATATCAATACAGTATCAAGCAGACAAGTGATGAGAATACAGAAAAATATCAATAATGGGATTATTATTTGATTCATCCCACATTCTCTAAACTAATATTATAAGATGAGTATGACAGACAGTAAGGAGAATTAGAAATGAGATCTGGGAGTGAAAAGATTAGGTTTCAAGTACCAAAGAGACTTAGCTTGTGGTCCTTGATTCATGTTTCCAAAATAAAATACTCAAGATGGGATTCTAACCAAATTAAGAGATTACCCATCAAACAAATGTTTTGTTTCACATCACATGTGAATGCTGATAACGAAATGCATGACTTTTTTGTGTAGCTCTAAAATAATCAGTGACATGACTTGTGTGTGTGTGTGTGTAATCATGCATAAGGCTCTTTCAGAGAAGAAGTCAAATGCATGCCTCAACATCTTCCATCACCTCTCTACCTCAAGAAGAGAAACACATTTTTAGTGACCATCTGCTTTCAGACTTGCAAAGTATATACCTATCTTTTCTGAAAGAATTCTTTACTACACAGTTCAATTACCTTTCTAGGATTATATTCATCACTATTAGAGTTATGTCCAAGTTGACCAAAATTACCATGACCAAATGTAAACACCCCTCCATCCTGCAATGTATAATAAACATATTACACAGAGCAATAAAACATAAATTGTCAAAAAATAACACATTTTTTTTTACTCATATCACATCAATAATCACCAGTGAGAGTAAAGTGCAATTCTTCAGAAAATAACAATTTTTAAACACTACAATAGTTTACCTCTGATAACTGTTTGTGGGCTACACTCAGTTAGAAGAATTGCTACTTCTGTTGGATAGTAACCTGCAGTCCTAGCCTGAATGAAGGTAGCCGGCCAGCTTTACTTTAGCTTGCCCCAACAGTCTACCAGCACTTACTTTTAAGGGAGTAACAGGAGTTTAAAAACTAGATCCTCTCTCTCTTGGGTGGAAATGAGCACAGTGAAAATACTGACTCAAAGCTAATACTCTTGGATAACTCACCAGGTGCCTGGAGACTTGAGTCAACTTAATAGGCCTTTTACAGGAATTGATCATGTGACCAATCTCCCCATAGCAACACCATACTGACTGGCAAGCTATTCTCCGTATTGCATGACAACCAGCTATTATCTTTGCATCGAAGCGTGTCTTTCAATAGTGTTTAAAGTGATCTTAAGGTCAATCCTAATCCTTTTCTTTTACAACTGTACAATCTCTGAATGCCACTGCTTTAGTATACCATGACTTTTGTAAGAATTTTGATGAATGTAAGCAAGTTTTGATGAGGTTTAGACTTCACGATGTGAGCGCCAACAAGACAAACATGGCAGACTCAATGAGTAAGTATTACAAGTTTTGCTGTAATCTCTCAACTTTTTTGAAATGTTTTATAAAGAATAATAAAAACTTATAAAACCATCTTTCTTTTAACAGCTAGTGGGACTCAAGAATTGTCTTTTATTCTGAATTTGATGTTCACAGATGTCGCGACTTTTGCCAAACAGAAGTCTGGATGTCAAAACACAGTGAAAGCGTACAATTTTTCGCCGAACCTGGGTATTTACATGGAATAAAAGGTATTTATTTCCAACCGAAACATAGGACAAAGGCATTACATTGGTTAATCTTTAAGTTACAATCATGTGATCGCAAAACTTTTCGAGCGAACAATTTGAAAATCCCTATTCCATCCTGAGACATTATTCTGATAAGCGTGTTTTCTTTCTTTCAGTTACTTTAGTTAGTATACACAGCTGACTATGCTGCTATATCTTCGGCCAAATGCTTTAGATCAATGAAAAAAAACTGAGTCCCCAGGTAATATCTCAGCAAATATCTAAGGGGGCAAGGAAAGTAGGAGTACTTATGAGGTTTAGGAATTTAATGCCTACTGAAGCTAAATTAAGAATTTTTAAAGCTTTTATTTTACCCCAAGTTACATATTGTCATATAGCATGGCACCATTGTCGCTCGTCAGACGAGAGAAAGCTTGAAAGGCTGCAGAAGCGTGCAATGAGGGCTATCTACTGCGACAGGGCTAGCACTTATGAAGCACTTCTAGATAAAGCAAGACTTCCAATGTTATGTAATCGCAAACTCCAGGACATGGCTATATTTACGTATAAAGTTAAGACTAATTTAGGACCACCATATATTTCTGAACTTATTAGTTGCAGTATAAGTAGGTACAATCTTAGGAATGCAGACAATTTCTCCTTACCAAGATACAACAGGGTTACATACGGAAGACATAGCTTAAGGTACATAGGACCTTGTATTTGGTCGAAGCTCCACAAATCAATCAAAATGGCTGACTCTCTAACTGCATTTAAAAATCAAGTCAGAGTCCTTAACCTATCAAATGGTATATCGAAAAATAATTGTGAAAATTGTGAGTTATGTAAAACTTAATTTTATCAATTTTAGATTGTTTGTACATATAGTTTTTCTTCTTATTATTATTATAATTATTAGTTTAGTTTACATGGTAGGTGTCCCCAATTAGTTTTTGTACTTGTAAAAACGTTAATAAAGTTATTCATTCATTCATTCATTGACAGATAGATCATATTGAGTGGGAAATGTAGTTGTGTTGCTGGAATAGATAGATATTACCATTACATCATTGCTTTGTTTTTCTTTACCTCGCACACTGTAAACAACTAGGGCTTAAATCTTTGCCTGATGACTTGACATGTACTAGTATGAAGCAGCAGTGGAACACTCCACGAGAGAAAAAATTGAACAAAAGCAAATTCAAGACATTCTAGATAAGAAACCTGAAATGGGAGAAAATAATTTATTCAAAGTTGTACTGTTATCTTGAAGACATCCTTGAATGTCGAATCGGAATCCAAAGACAAGTCTTGAGTCCCATTAGCTGTTAAAAGAAAGACTGTTTTATAAGTTATTACCATTATTTATAAAATAATTATTTCAAAAAAGTTGAGAGATTATGGCAAACCTTGTGATACTTACTAGTTGTTGAGTCCGCCATGTTTGTCTTGTTGGCGCTCACATTGCGAAGTCAAACCTTGTTAAAAGTCACTTACATTTGTCAAAACTCTCACAAAGGTCATAGTATATACTAAATGCTGGCAATAAGAGATTATAGGTCTAAAAGAAAAGGATTAGGATTGACCTTAAGATCACTTTAAACGCTATTGAAAGACACACTTCGATACAAAGATAACAGCTGGTTGTCATGCAACACGAAGAATAGCTTGCCAGTCAGCTTGGCATTGCTATGGGGAGATTGGTCATGTGATCAACTCCTGCAAAAGGCCTATTACAGCCCTTAGACTGCAAGCATATACCATGGCTTAAACCTGAACCAAAAGATCCACAAGGGCACCAAAGGTAACAGAGGGTCACAGGGATTGTAATGATATGGAATACCACTACATGAGCACAAGTAACCTTGGCTTCAAAGCAGCATGCAGCAGCCATCAAAAAAATTAATTGTAGCTTGTACACTCTACCTCTGTCAAAGCAGCTGTATGATATTCTCCTGCTGTGACATAGCGCACCCTTTGTGATCTTAAGGACTTTACAAGTACAGGCATAAAATGATCTAAAAGGAAGTTAGACAAATTTTCAAAGCATTTACAAGCTTTTAATTACAAGATTACTTTTTTATCACTAAATTAAACATAATTTTCTACTTTCCTAATAAATAAATGGTGTTACAGTAATTATAATAACTAATAAACAAATTTTAATCAAGGAGGAAATGTAGTGTCTAAATCAACAGTTGACCATTTCAACAGTAAGCACATAGTATAAAATGTAAGATTTAACTAAGAGTGACTAGCATCCAATTTTTCATAACAAGTTACCCCTGAATCAAACATAAGGGTCACAAGAATAAAGGACACGATCACCCGCTAAAGAAGCCCTTGATTTTTAAACAAAATTTCCTTTCAACACCTTAGGAATTTAGAGAACAGTATGGAGAATATGCATAATGAAGTTAGGGCATAGAGAGTTAACATCAAAATAAATGATAGATAGCTGGGAAGATTTTCCTCTGAATGGAGAACTGCACTCACCTTTGTTGTCATTTATTCCTAGTTGGCCAAAGCTTAAAAGGGAAAAAAAATGTGCATGTTACAAATAATTATGATTCCCTAAATCAGTAATGGTAAAACTTGTATAACTTTAATTACTAACTTGTTTCTGCCCCAGCTGAAAAGTGCTCCAGAAAGTGACAAGGCAAAGCTGTGATATCCACCAGCACAGAGCAAGGCAAAGGGCACACCACACAAAGAAGACACAAGTACAGGTAAATTGCGGGCTGGGCTTGAATTACCAATTCCTAACTGTCCATGTTTATTGTCTCCCCAGGAAAACAAGAATCCACCTAGTATATAACAAAAGAACTATCAGGGTGTAGTTTCACTTCCAGAATTGGTGTACTGTTGGAGAAATTCAGATAAAATTCAGACAAAGTTTCCCTGTTTTACAACAAAAATGACTGAAAATGTACGGAGATAAATAATCTATTGGTGTGTTCATATTCATTCTAAGGGAAAATTGAATGCATCAAAGTATAAAGATGAAAGATGTTGCTACGTATGCTAGAAGTCAGTGTTGTCATTAGGAGCCGGTAGGGGGCAGAAACCCGCCGGCTGTCAGGCCATTTTGCGCGCCTACTTTGTGACCAGAAATTTTGTAATATTGAGATGTCCTCCCAAGAAATCTTTTTTTTTGTAAATCTGAGGCTTACTTTAGTGATCATTCTCTTGTATATGTTGTAGTTCAATTTTATCCTTGGCTCAAATTTTATCTTCCTTTGTTTCAAACTCACTATCATACATTAACATGACCAAGAACAAAGGAAAATAAAATTTGAACCAAGTATAAAATTGAACTACAACATATATCATATCTGATGTTATGGAAGACGGAAAAAACTAAAAACCTGTACAGGAACTACTGTGCAAAAACTATCAGTGGTGTTGACAGTTTACTTGAGTATAAATGTGTGACTGTCACGAAGCACGAAACCATCGCAATTCACATGTGCGTTGATGCTTCGAAAATCGAAAATGATGGCCAGTGAAGAAAGCGATCTCTTCACGATTACTTGTCAAGTCAATCGAAGACAAAATCTAGCGAAAAAGAGAGCCACCAAGATAAGAGGTAGTTTCAATCGCTGTCAAATAAAATTATTATTATTACAAAGCTCCTGTAGCATTTAATACCACAGATAAACTGGCCTCATTTGTTAAAATACAGTGGCAAATTATCACTGATCCACTACATACTTTCAAAAGAGCTTTCAGAGGGTTGGAGAAGGAAGTGTCTATAAAGATCTTTTTCACCTTGCTAAAACTGTTGTGTCCTTTCCACTCTTAAGATTTCAAAAGCAGGAAGATTTTCCTTTGTTGTAAACATGTACTGTTAAATAATTTAACTTCTCCTAGGAAGATGTTCTTTCTAGTTTGGGACAGACAGACTTTAACTGCTCTTGTAGAATCACAGAATAGAACATATAACTTATGTTATCCAATAGAGACATGACAACAAGTTTGAAGGAAAATTTTGGTTTTTTGTTTACGATTTCGACAGAGACACGCAAACAAAGTTCTGCGATTTAAAATGTCGTTCCAACCATACACGTGGCCATCAAAGTTGCCACTAGATTGTTTTTTTTTTAGGATTTTGCAACGTTAGAAATGCTCACCAAATATGGACCTTTTGGAATACTTGTCATTAAACCCCTCGGACAATCCTAATTAAAAAATAAAGGCAAAGTGTTCCGTGATTTTGCAAACCTTGCGGCATTTGGCGGGTGATTTCCAGATGTTTATCAGTTGTGATGTTTAGAGATGAGAGGAAATACTTTGATGAATGAAACATACCCTTATTTTAAATAAAAACGTGAAGCTTTCATCCAGAGGGTTTTCATTACATAGTGAAAAACAGGGATATTGAATTTAACAACAATGTCTGGCTACAAAATTCTACTCAAACATGCCCCAGAATGCTGGAAAATGCATTTCAGAGAGTTTCAATTTCAAATTTTTCCAGGGAAACATGCCCCCAGACCCCCCTAGAGGGGCATGTTGCACAGCCACCTACTCAGTTCAGATCAGACACCTATTACATTTTCTAGTGACAACCCTGAGAAGTGCCAATTTGTAATGTTGTATTTAGCTTGAGGTAGAGAAATAAACATTTACACTTTTTGTGCAATGTTTTTCCATGAAAATGAGGTCCAGGGCCAAGAACAAGCCGCCACTGTTACTACGGCAACAAGAGTGCTGCAACCTTTAAAAATAGCATTTTTGTGCATCCCCCTTGAGTGCCTAACTGCATACAAATTTGAAGGGGAGTTGAAAATTTTCATTTCCCAAGATGTTTGATTCTCATTCTTTGTCAGAATCGTAAACCTGTGGAATAAATTGCCTAAAGACGTAGCTGAAGCAGATTTCTCTGGGAACATTTAAGATCAAAGTCAAGAATTACCTTTTTAAATAATATTGTATATTTATTTAATAGTTTTTATAGTAAGTATTGTATATAGTTAAATTGCAACTCATATTTTGTATATTCAAATAGATGTTTANTATTATTATTACAGAGACTCACTCTAAATAATTTAACTCACTGCTAGGAGTGACCAATAAGGATTTTTTCCTTACAATATTCATACATTTTCAAGCAGAAAGGAAAAAGAAGAAAGAATATCAATGATGGGATATTACTGCAGCTGTACATGATTTAACATCAAATTCTTAGAACAAGAATTATACACAACACACAAACTAATATAAAGACCATGGGAGTAAAAGGCTCCAGTACACTGTTAATCTCTAGGGAAAAAAATAATTTATGTTTTGCCACAATTTTAGAAGAAAAGTGGTTCTGACTCACTAACAACTTGACTTGTAGCCACAAATACAAAGGTGGTACACCCACATTTGTGCTTGACCTCAAAATCTATTACAATGACTTTAACTCAAAACTCCGTTTGTAAAATACATGTTTTCATGTATAAAAGCACTAATTGTTATGATTTTACGATAAAATCAAAATAAGATGTAATTTAAAAAGTTGTTCCAAATGCATTAACATCAAAGGATGTCTTGGGATCAGTAATATGTCTAAAACTTCTATCGTAATGACAATCTTAAACAAAAATTGAGAATTGTTAGCAAAAATTGAGCTAATAGTTCATTGCTCTTTTCTTTTATGACTAATTAAATATCATCTACTTATTAATAAATAAACCACATGGGAACAACTGTGAATTTGGTGTTTACCTGTACTCAGCGCTAAAGAATGCCTTGCTCCACAAGCAACTTGTGTTACCTTTACACCATCAGTCTCAAGACTCCTCACAATTCTAAAAAATTGTATCAATGGCAAAAACAAAAACTATCAGTGCTCATCTCCCTCAGTTTTCTTATGTGAAGTAACTAGGAGTGTGACCCTTGGTGAATCTTTGCCTCTGCAAAGAGACACTGAGAACATCACAAAATGGGCTGATTACTGTTCAAACACAGACTTCTTGATGTGAATTCGAGAGTGCATGTTAACTGCTGGTTAATTTCATCTCTCACTTCCAGTTTGTTCTTGCTCCGTCCATTCCTCCTCCTTGAAATCTTCTAAAACCTTCTTTCCTTGGCCTCAAGAAGGCTTTTTAGGGACTTTTAGTTTTTCTTTTTAAGTGCATGATGGACCTAATATATAATTTGGATCTGTCTTATTATCTTGTGACAGCTGACAGTTCTAAATATAATCTCAGACATGCTAATTACCAGTTTAAAATTAGATATGCACAAATTAATGTGCCAAAATCTTCTTATTTCTTTGGAGTTTAGTAAAATAATACTTTACATTTAAGAAAAATTGAATCCTTAAACATAATTTAATGAATGCTTGAAATCCTCTTTACATCTCAGGGATACTCAAGTGTAATTTATTTTTCAACTAGTTTAAATAATCATTTTTCTGGTTTGATATTGTACATAATTTTTACCTGTTTATGCATTTATAATTCTCTTTTTTTTCAGCTGATTTAATTGTTATTTATGGCAAATTTTGGGAAACCCTTCAGTGATGGAAGTTGTTTCCTGTTAAGGGTTTTCCTGTCAATACTTGTGGTCCTTTAGTATTGAACAAAACATTAAAGAGGCTTGTGGATTATATTCATGGCATAACCTGAAGCATTTAAATAGATTTAAAAAAATAATAATAATAACTAACTTTGGAAGGCTTTGGAAAGTGTTCTCTGTGTTTCCTAGACCCAGTTGTCCTTTGGTGTTGTCACCCCAGGCAAGCACAAGTCCATTATCTGTGAGAGCCAGGGTATGCATTTGTCCACAAACCACCTCCTTGACTGTACGTGTTTCAAGTGCATCAACACGAGCTGCAAAATATCAAAATATTTAAGAAAACATATACCAGCATCAAAGGGAAGATACCAAAATCATACAATATTAGTTTAAATTGTGGACTAAATATTTTAATAGAAGAAACAATGTTACAATATTACATTCAAATCTACCGGCCAAGCCACCATTTAATGACAGGGAAAGCAGCTGGGAATCTGCTCTTATTGCAATAGGCAACACCTTTAATATACATTGACCAATCTGATAATGCTAGATTACGTCATTCATAACTGAACCTCCACTACTACTTACAAACCCTTTGACCTCTTAGAGAGTCTGACTGACATCTCACTATAAAGAGGCTGGTATCGAGAATGAAAATATCTCACTTTTAACTCAAAAAGGATTGACAGGCATGAGTATGAGCAATGAGTCCTTTAGAAGAAGGACTTGTGCAGGCACTTCCCTTACCCCACAGGCCTGCAAACAGATGCCATCTATTTTAAAAATTACATTATTTTGTGATCTATTCACCACAAACTTTGTTGTGTTCCAAAATTCAAGAATGTTCAACAGCATAACATACTGTGCTTCTGGAGTAGACAAGAAAGTAGTTTTCAAAATTTATGATATTGATCTTTAGGTAAAACTGTATATATTCAGCAAATAGATTCTATATTGTCATGCATCTGTTCAATAATAGATCACAGATGTCGTCAAAATGTGGTAAGAACAAAGAAGTGACCGAGGAGGCAAAGCCAAGTATCTCATGGATGTTCTTACTACATTTTTAATGACTTTTGTGATCAAAGAAGCAAACCATTATCACTGTCTCTGTCCTTCAAAAGATCATAAAATTTACAAACCAATCCAGCAAAAAATGTGCATAATTTAGCTCAGTATAAAGTCACCAAGTCTGTTTCTACAACCTTCACTGCATTTGTACATGCTTTTAATGTTGTAATATACCTGTACTTCTTACCATCCATTTGAAGCAAGTTTCATACAATTTCATAAACATCTGCAAAAATCACTTCATGAAAAATCACTAGGTGAAAATAACTCTGGTTTTACTGCACTCAAACTGATCATAATCTATGAAATAATATTAACGTTCAAAAACTGAGACACTACACCAAACTTCTGAGTTATTTTCCCTTTATGCAATGTACTACTATATCTAAATTTTCATTTGATGTAAGTTTTGTATGACAAGCTAGACATAATGTCTGAGTTATATCGCCACCAGCGGTGATTTGACTTCCAGTGCTGGCAAATTGGGTGGCGGCGAGTTCATTGTGGTAGTTATTTGATCAGAAACTGTAAATTCTCCGCACTGTCTGTGATACATTTCTTATAATTCTGCCTCTGAGAATTTGATGTTTAACCAAACAACATTCTCTGGTTGATTGTAAACTTTCCTCTCATAGCGTGCCTTCTTGAAAATGTACTCATACTGTAGAGAGAAAATCTAATACTAATACTAATATAGTGTTTCTGACCGCTTGCAGCCTAAGGCTGAATTATGGGTGCATTTTTTTAAGGTTGAGAACAGACGTCAGCATATCAGGCGCCTCTGGCAGCCGCTTCAGTCCATCGATCACACAGTAATCTCGTGTGGGAAATTAACGTCTCCTACCCCAACCCTGCAGGAGACGGGACCTCCATTTATTCGTCTCTATCCGAGAAGACTAGAATATCTGACCATTTCTTGATGTTATAAGAAAGGCAGCAAATTCTCCTCAATTATTTTAAGACCCTGAGTGTTGGTCCGGCCGGGGCTCGAACCCTCGACCTTCCGCACAACAGTCCAGCGCTCTATCCATTGAGCTAACCGGGAATGAACGGGTAAACTATTCCCATGACGTAACTTTCTTTGTCTTAATTGTAAACATTCCCCATGGCTAAATTACAATTCAATCGAAGCAAAACGCTTGAAAACAAAAGATTAAAACAACTATGAAAGAAATTAAACTAGAATTTGTGATTACAGTCTTGGAAAATCATTCACACTTTACAAACTTGCTTAAGAGTAAACATGTAAACATCAACATCAGAGAGATCGACGTCAACTCGTGATGATCAATAAACTGATTGACTCACCGAACTTTTTTCCGTCTTTACCGCGCCCAAGTTGTCCATTTTCGTTATTTCCACATGTGTAAACAACACCGTCCTTTTTCAAGACCCCTGTATGCTCCCAGCCACAAACAATGTCTTTAATTTCAGACACAGTTCCGAAAGTGGTTTCAAGATTCCTTGGAGACAAGATATTTTCGTCCTCAATCTCTCCCAGCCCAAGCTGGCCTTCGGAGCATTTACCCCAACAAAACATGACTAAACCATTTTCATTAGTATTTCTCTTTCTTTTCTGTACATTTATGTCCGCAATTGTTCGAAACTGGCATATTGAAAATGTTAGGGCTCAGACAAAATTTGATGTCATAGTTCCGCCATTTTTAGCCAAATAGGAATTAGTACCCAGTAATCGCGCGGTCAATAGGGTCACCACTTTGCCCTCCAAATTGGCAGCGAGGATCGGGGGGACCCAAACGAACGGGGGACATTGGAGTTCATTAGAAACTGCAAAAATCCGTAGGAAGAAAATCCAAACAATCATCCAAAAACCCCAAACTCGATCAAAACCGAAAACTGCACGCAAAGTCGATAACTTCACTTCTAAAAACCCTATTGGTACCGATACAGTGGTAACAAATGGAGCATATGAAGGTTCGCGGCTATTCGAGAGAAGTGGAGGCGCATAATTGCCGCTCAGATCGAAAAGCAACCGAAACCCAAATAGGAAACACCAAAGGACCACATCAGATATCAAATTTGGAAACCTGTTGGTTTTTTTTACCAAAAGAGAAAACTAAATACTATTTAAAAATAACTCCGCAAACCACAATGAACGCCAAAAACCGATCTAAAAAAATTGCCAAAACCACAAAACTGAAAATCTCAATGTCCCCTTTGGGCCATATAAGATGTCAGTCCTTAAAATAAGCTCATACTGTAGTCAAATGAGTACTTGATATTCAGCCATGTGGTTGATGACAAGGTCCCTTGCAAGTTTCGGATGTAGGTTAGCATTTAGGCAATTGCGCGCCTAACCCAACAAAAGTCAACTGATAACAGGATAGGGATAATGTTGGGTTTGGGGATATAGGTCAGGGAGGGGTAGGTACGCAGTTGTTCAGCTACAGACATCGTAGCGGTCGGAGAAACTGATCCGTTCGAGGCGGCTCCAGTGTACGTTTCGTCCTCTTGTGGAATGTAGTCGCTCATTGATCTGTCTGTGGGCTACACGTTCATTGCGAGGGCATCTCGGATGTACCCTCCATGTTCGTTGTGGGCCTTTTGGTCATGGGAGTCGAGTTCGCTTTCTTTTCAGTGATTTAGAGGTTGGTGAGTGCCACGTCAAGTTAAAATTTCATTGTAATGTACCTGTGTTTTGAACTTATTGGAATCTATATATTCAGTTCTGAACCCTTTAATCTCTACGAGTGACTAGCATGAAATTTCCCCTAACAGAATTAACCTTGAATCAAACATAAACGATATGAAAATATAAGAATGATCCTCAACAGGATAAGCTAATGATTGGTAAACAAATTCTCCCTGTTAGTGCTACTGGAAAAGTTCAGATGATAGAAGGGAGAATATGCATATCAGTGTTACGGTCGAAAGAGGTAAATAAAGGCTCCTGTTACAGTAGATGCTAAGTAACTGTGACCTTCACAAGAGGTAAAATAAAGCGTCCTGGGATTTACTCTCCCTTCACTTTACTTACAAAATTGAGAAAATGTAACAAAGGACAAACACGATAAACACTGTTAAATGGTCTGTATATTTATAAAACTCTTAAAGCGCCATATTACAGACAGCACAGAGATAACATTTAAAGCTAGCCTTGTTCCCAGGTCCCAATTTCAATTAAATCCAGCAAAGACCAGGGAGCAAGGGTGCTCTAACAATGGGGAGTAATCAGAAATATAACGAAGTTGAAAGGAACTGATGAAAGTTACATCTCGAGACACTTGCTGACTCTTAATTCAGATGTTTTACAAACGTAACCCCAAACCCAGAGTACGATTCCAATTCTATTTTCTTTAACATATCAGTAAAACTTGGGTAATCAGGCAATTAAGTATGTTAAATTTCTCCCAACTGTACCTTGAGCAATGGACCAGGACAAGTAAAGAGAATTAATTGTATCCGTGCTTTGGGGTTGCTCTTTATACTGTACAAGGATCCAAAATACCTATCTACATCGATTTACGACTTCGCGACGAGTTAAATTGATTTTCCACTTAAGAATAAGGCCACAAATCTCAACGTGAAAATTTCAATCGCGTGTAGTATGCTTGCCGCTTGAGTCACATTGGAAAGACGCGCAATACCCCCATAACGCACTACGTTACGGCACGAAACAGGTTTGAGGAATGTTTGAGCACTATCTCCCGTCGACGGGATGCCTTTTGGTGACAGGAGCAAGTACCAGTAGAAGACAAGCATTCATAGCTGTAGCAACATGAACACGACCTTCTCCAAACTCTAACACCGCTATCGATATTAAGAAATCGTGTCAAACAAAGCTTAACAATGAAACATTAGACTTAGAGACATTCCTATAGTTTGGGATTTTTCAAGAGCTGTTTGAACATGATTCTGAACTTGAAGTATTTGAGTTTTCAGATTCACGCAAAAACCAGTGGCCTTTTCCTGAGGAAGTCATTTCAGTGCCAAACATGACTTTAAGTTCGAATACTCACTCCATGTTTAAACTAAAAAATACATTCTATTAATCGATATCACATTTTGATAAGGAAATGAAAGTCAATGATAGAAATCTAGCAAGTAAAATGCGCGAAAACAAAGATAAAATAAAATTAAAATGACAAGATTCAGGCAAAGCTCGCTCGGCGACCAACTTCCTTCATTTATCTAAAAAATCTACCCTCTCTAACTAAAACATTTACAGATAGAATAAAACGAAATTATCCGAATCCCGATTTCTAAAACCTAGATAGCCGATAAGAACTCGCTAGGTCCAATAAAACTCCCTCCCAAACTTCTGTAATAATTTGTTTGGTCTTAACCTCTGTGACTGAAAAAAGGACAACTTCTTGGTAATTTACATCGGTTCCTTTTCAATTTGAAAAGAAATCTTAAATTACACCATAAAAATTCCAAGATTCAAAATAAAGCTATATGTTACAAGTAAATTTCGTCGTAAACTAAACTTTCTTTAAAACAAAGGTAAGTACTTGAAAAGGATTAAAACGTTCAGATTCGCGAGTCTTCTGGTTTTCCCACAATGCATCCCAAGCGTCCTCGACAGAAACAGGCCCGTTCCTGGGCTCCTTTTCCCTCTTCGTATCTCATTCCAGTTTCTAGTTCATTCAGAACCGAATGAGAATTTCCAGCCACGTGAATAGTACTTCTCAGTATAAATTGATAACCACATTATGTTGATTTTGTTGACGAGCCGCTGGACCTTCCCCCCAGACCTCCAGAGCTGCCGTCGTGAAGTTCATTATCACTGGCTTTTCTTTCCCCATCCGGGGAATTGATAGCGAGGGTCTCGAGCGAAGAGGCGGACATTGCCTTCACCTGGGCAATAACGACTTGCGCTTTCATGGCGTCTTCTTCGAGTTCACGCATTCGCTGTTGTCTCATGGCCGCTCGCTTCTCTGCCTCTAGCGCACGTCTTTCGGCCGCGGTCAAGGTGCGTTTTGGCGACTGCGGAGAGGAAGCATTCGTGTCGCTGTTTTGACGTTTGTGATCGATATTCATCTTTTCAGCTACCTCAGCGTCTCTGTTCACATGTTCCGATCCTGTGGTAATAAAAAGAACACCCCGCAACGATTAATCAAGGCGAGATTACGTAGACCACATGGTCTTAAAACAAACGACAGTAGAAGGTGTTTAGTGGCGTTCAGATTCTTATTCAACAACGTAGCTTTCAAAGGAAACACTCAGATCCTTCGGGCAATGATTATTTTCTCTTAGAAAGTATTATTTACCTGTAACAGCTCTGTTTTGACCCTGAAAACACAAGAAAACCACGAGAGTTAAATGAAATATGTAAACAGACTCTTAAAGTTTCATTGTTATGCTCCCTAGGTAGCGCAGTTATCACTTTAGAAACAGACAATAGTCCATTGTGACATTACTAACAATACTATAGGTGGGTTGCGTAGCATCTGTGGTTTAATTTTTTTTTTCTGGGTTTCGCGTGAAACTGCAAAATAACAACGCTAAAAATCAGACATATTTCGCAAGAGAGATAAAGCCGGCGAACCACATCTTAACCTGGAGTCCTCGGGATTGTTTGGAGCCGTCGAAGCAAATCATTGGCGAGAAAGTTACGCAAAGAAACGTGTTTCTTCCCACGGTAATTACTTTGGTGTGCTTCGAAAGGTGAACAATCAAACAAAGAGTGGAAAGATAGCGGAAATTAAGGAAACAGTTTTCTACGTGTACCTGAAGACAACCTACCATCAACTGTTTTGCTTTTTAAAAACAGTGCGAAAGTGCTGAAACCATTTCGTGATTTTATTTTTTTTTCCTTGGGTTAGTAAGGCTGTCTCTCGAGTTATACTTGTCGAGCTAACTTTCCAAGGTCAAACTAAGGGCAACAACCGTTTTGTAAATAAATGCCAAGCATAAGGGTTTCCAAATAGTTAGGAAATTACGGGTCAAGAATAGCACAGCATAATCTGATGCGACATCCCTAAAACGTGATTCTCTTACTGCCTCGTGCGGCCGGACGGTAACAATTGGAAATTTGTTGTACGACGCTCTATGCAGGTGTATGGAGCAGAACAGAACGGAAAAATGTTACTTACAAACTTCTCCTCGCCAGCTCCTTTGCTCTCCTCTAGACGTTTACGAAGAGCTTCCTGGAACACAGAAGCAATATTGTCGATTATTCATACGCCACGAAAACAGAAATACGACCAAACATCTCCGTCAAAGTAAATAAATATTCTTGTCGCGCAAGCTCACTACAAAAATATCACACATTGTACTTGAATAAACTGCGTTCTACAATATTTTTTCGATGACCCTCGATATTTAAGGGATAAAAGTTGAGTACTATTCGTAATATTTTATCTTAACACGATAGATAATTAATTCTGAGAAACGCGATTTAATAGAATTCAGTTTCCGTATTCAATCTTTACTCTTGACTTGTTAACTACGTCAGACGTATGGGAAAATCATCATTTGTCATCGTAAAATATATTGTTCATAAATGATAAACTTCGTGTAAGAGTGATCTTCCCAAAATATTCTAAAAAGTTGAGAAAGTTTGAGAGAAATTTGAATAAACCACGAGTATTCATAATGAGAAAATGAAAGCAATGTTCAAAAATAGAACACAAGGAGCCTAACAAAGAAAAAGTGGGAGAAACGAATATCTCTGTTTTCAATGGTTACAGACGTTGGAATG